CCCCTGCGTGCCAGGCCCTTGCTGGATGCCCGCACGCTGCCAGCCGTGTGGCGGCATGCTGCGAACGTGATGGTGGTGGTGGGGGGTAGGTGGATGTGGTGATTGAGAACAAAGTGCAGGAACAACTTTATTGATGCAGTCTACATCCAGATAATCCAGCCTGTAAAATATGCAATTCATTGTTTCTCGTTTTTTCACACTTCCACGAGACCATCATCACCACAGCTCACGCGAGGACCTGTTCATCAGAAACCAGGTAGCCTTGAGATGGCTTCTCCCACCGCCCTCCTCAGCCACAAAGCCGCAGACCTGTCCTGTTAGGCCCCAGCAGTCCTTCTTAGATTCCTAGAGGAGATCTGGTGAGGCTCCATTTCACAGAAGCAGAAGATGCAGAGGGCAAGGCTTGGGAAGTAGCTTGGGAGCGGACAGGACTGAGCCTGCTCTGGGCCAGTACCTCGCTGCCTCCCCATCTCTTCCCCAGGCCTCTCTCTCCATCCTCTGGCCTGGTTCCCATCGTCAAGGGCTGTGTATGGCCCAGCTAAGGGAGGCTTGGAGGAGACCACGCCTAGGGTGGATGGGATGGGGTGAGGCTGGTGGGATACCTGGCTGTACTGCTTGGGCTGGCTGCTCCGTGCTGCCCCTTGCTAACCCCCCTCCTCGTGGCAGGTGTCCTGCCTGCTTGCATTACTTTGTTCTCCTGGGAGGAGGGTCGCGGCCGTAGTCAGTAGTTGGGGGGTGGGAACGGCGTCATGCAGGAGTTGATTGTACAGTCATCCAGCTCCTATATGATGCCTTTCTTCATCCCCTTCAACCGCACGCAGCCTCCGGACCCTCCTCGGCAACTGCTGCACGGGGGACGCGTCCTCGAGCTTGCTGCTGTCCCGGCATGCTCCGCAGGCGCTTGCTCCTGCTCTCTTTCCCCCCCCCCCCCCTCTGTTTCTCTCCTTTCTTCCTGCAACTTCTAGGTTCCTGGATGGGAGGGCCTGGGGCTGGTCATCCCGGAAGTCCTTCTTTGGAGGGGAGGCTGTGTCCCTCACAGGACACTTCCTGGGACTGGGCCCGGGGCCCACCTCTGACTCTGCATTCAAGAGTAGACAGGCCAGAGGTAGCGTCTGGGCTTTTCCCACCCAGGGAGGGGTGGGGATGGGGGGGCATCCTTCCCTGGGACTTGGCTCACAGGATGTTTTGGGGGGAGATGGCATCTTTGATCCCAGGACTGACAGGAGGAGACAGAGCTGGGACAGAGCAGGGTTGCCCCTTGCCAGGGCCCCAGGAGGAGGGTCTCCTTGAGGGGTCTCTGCCTCTACCCAGGACTTTTTCATGACCAGGAGGCTGAGGCCCCTCAAAGGCGGTCACTTACTCTCTCTCTGAGCTGTTCCAGAGACATTTCCCACCTTCCCAGGCTCCGCTAACATTGGGTCCCCTGGTAGCTGTCTGCAGGCACATCATCTTCCCTCTCTGCCAGTCCTGCCCACATTGGGTATCTGTGGGCACTGCAGTGGTATTGTAAGCAGCTGGCATAGCTGTCCTCTGCCATCTGCACCCCATTAACTCAGATCCAGGCATATGGAGGGGACCAGTCCAGTCCTCATGATACTGCCATGGTGAACTGCTTTGCCTGCCATGCAGCCAGCCCAGGCCCACATGTGGGCAGCCAGAGAAGAGGCCGTGGGACGCCATCAATGGGAGACCAGGGGGACCGCACACTTCTCCCTCTTGGCTTCCTTCCTCCCCTTCCCCTCTACTTTCCTCATGCCTTCTCCCCACATACCCTTCTTCCTACCTACCTTTTCACCTTGCGTCTTCCCTGATGTCAGGATGGCTATGTCGGTCCTTGTGGAGTGCAGGCAGGCGAGCGAAGGTTATCAGACATCATGGGAGGACAGGAGGGTCCATGTGCCCGGAAGGAAGGCTCAGGGAACATGGGGAGGGCTTGGAAGTCACATGATGTGCCTGTGTGTCTTTTCTTTTTCACCACATGAGCAGAATGGCAGGTGCAGAGGGGGCCTCCTGCCTCTAGGCTAGGGTCCTCACTGTACCCCCAGCCGCCTGCAGGGCGACAAGCCAATCGGGACCTGACGGTGAGTAACCATGGGCTGCTGGTGAGCGTGTGCTGAGGGCCTGGGGACGAGAGTGGGCATCTTAGGCACTGGCCTGGTGACAAAGGAGGGGGCAGGTGGGACTGTTAGCCGTGGAACTTGGGCTCCTCTTTGTCCCCTGGCTGCTGCAGGTGTGTTCTGTCAGTGCGGTAGGCCTGCAGGCCCCAGCCAGCCAGGCCCGAGAGCCTGCTATCTGGCACAACCAGCACTGGTTACTAGTTCTCACCCTTTGTGTTGTTGTTGTTGGATATATGAGGCTATCACTTACCCTGTCTCTTGCTGACAATACCTTCTTTTCCTTCTTTTTCAGGAGTCAGAAGGTTTGTATTGTGCTTTTTGCAACCTTTGTTTTCTGAAGTGAGGGCCCTGGTCACATGAGTTGCCGTGTCAGCACTCCTCTGAGTCTGGGGGCTACTCGTCTCCTCTGGCCCCGGAGATAAAGCCCTTTCCACGTGGTAGGAGGGGCATGGAACTGTTGGTCAGTGTGAGAGGTGTGTAGGTGGCCTCTGGGGGACAGTGCAGGAGTGGCCCACCTTTGTGGGCATTTGCACCCACCCTGCTCGGGCTGGTTGTCACGTAATAACATCTCTGTTCAGCCCCAGTCTGTCGCTCATCTCCTTTTGGGACTCAGGTAAGAGTGTGGTCCTCAGGCCCCAGACTGCAGGCTCTGGGCAGGGACCTCTCAAACTCCAGCCTCCAGGTGTCCTGAGCTATGGATCCTATCAATTCCAGAATGACCTCCCTACTAGGACCCCCAGGTTCCCCGGAGCCCCATCCTTGATAACCCTAGAAGACCAGCCATCAGGGGACAGAGGGTTTTAGGAGCCAAGGGACTTCCATGATATGTTGTTTGTGAATGGCCCTCCCCTGCCGTATGAGCTCTAGCGACAGGGGGAAGTGTCTGCCCGCCCCCCCCCCCCCCCCCCCGCTCCCAGTCCCTCAGCAAGGCCAGGACAGAGCCTTCCTTTGCAGGGTCACTACGGGGTGTGGGGCTGCTATACAGGACAGAGTGCCAGGATCTGCTGTGTCTGGGGTGCTTTGCTGGTGAGCTTAGGTTGTGTGGGTGGAGTGCCGTGGGGTGACAGGGAAAAGGCCCCTGGGGAAGGCACCCTGATTCTGGCTGCTTCTTGGGCTCTCTGTAGCCCTCTTGGCCCCGAGATTCCCCTACTGACTAAATAAGTGACATCAGAAGTCAGCAGGTGACACTTCCGTGGGAAGTGTAACCTACACCTAGTATTCTGCTCATGGCCCTTTCAAATTCCTCCAGGAGCCCTCGTGGGTCTGAGTGATAGGGAAACTGAGTTGTAGTGGAGCCAACCAGCTGGGGAGCGAATGGGGCCATTGGCAGCTTCCTTTAGAAGCAGGGAGAAGCCCCAAGGTGAGGTTGAGCCCCTGGCTTGAACCTGGGGATCCTGACCATGATCTCCTGGTGCTGCTGGCGGGGGTAGATTACTCAGGTCGAGGGTGATGGTCATCCTTGGCGATCTGTGAGGGCCCAGAAGGCCTAGGGTGGGGCTGAGGAAGGTGAAGGAATGTCGCCTTGGGCTCCGTCTCTGTCCTCAGTGGGCCTGGAGAGAGCAGGGCCAGAGAACAGGACAGGCTCACACTGTCCGGGCGGCTCTGGGTTCCCGGTGCACTCTTGAGACAGAGCAGCGCCCCTCCCATGGGACAGATGACAGCTCCAGGAGTAGAGTGGCTTCCCCAGAGAGAGAGAGAGGGGACCCCAGAACATGTCAGTCCTATCTCAGTGTGGCTCAGTACCCCTCCCCTTGACCATTCTCCCTCCCATCCCATCAGCCCCCTCCACCCCCTCGCTCCCTCCTATCCTGCCCCACCCGACTCCCAGCTCTCAGAACAAACCACAGAGTCTGATACTCTTTTTGATCTGGTTTATTTGGGGGGGGGGGTTAAAAGCTGTTGGGGAAGGATGTCCCCCATGGCAAGAAGCAAGGTCTGGTTGGAGCCCTCTAGGCTCTCCCACATAACCGGGCCTCTGGGCCTGCGCAGTCTTTCTCCGGCCCCCTGCCCTTTGTCAGGGGCCTCTGGGCCCTGCACTGTCCAATTGTCAGTCTTGGGGGGTGGGGAGGGAGCCCCACTTGGCACAGCTGCCCACTCTACTGTCCCCTGAGTCTCAGGGACTGCCAACTCCAGCAAGTCCATCTGGTAAGTAGTCCTGGCAGGCCGGATCTTCCCCGGAGCCTCTCTGTGCAGGTAGGCCCAGAGTTCAGGGTCAGAAAAAGTTGGGGGGAGCCGAACCAGACAGGGGGGATGGGGGGAGGGGGCTGGGCTTGCTTGCAGGGTGGGTGGGGCCGTGGGAGGAGGTGTGGCACCGCAGGACCTCGGGAGGGGGCGGGCAGGGAGGGGCGGGGCCCAGGGGAGCTGGAGCACCGGTGTGGAGGTAGAAGTCAGTGGAGCACCCGAGGTCAGTGTCCCAGGACGTGCAGTGGCCGCACACGGGTGCGTCCCGTGGGTGGGGGAGGGGGCGCTGTCTCTGGCATCTGCTTGCTTGGCTGCGCTGGCTGCTCTGCCTGCCGCTGCATCGGGCCTTGGATCACGGGGTCATTGCTGCTCATCACTGCTTTCTCTTCGCTTCGCGATCCCTCTCTCCCAGCGGTAGGCCTCGGGGCCTGGAGAGTTCAGCCCGGGGGGTGGTTTGTGCAGCCTCGAGCTGCCTCTGGGACTCTGAGGTTGGATAGTCCTTTAGCACGAACGATGTTGCTGGTTGATGGGTTGAGATTGAGGCCCTTCACAAGTGGCTTCCCCCTGGGTCAGGAGCAGCAGGAGGAGGGGCAGTGGGTGTGTGCGAAGCTGGCTGAGGCCCGGGGTGGGGGGAGGATGGCAGAGATGCTGTGAGGTGTCGGGTCAGAGACGAGGAGGGTCCTTCTCGTGGTCAAGAGGCCTTCAGTCCAGGCCGTCATCGTCTTCGTCGGCCGGCCGCGTCTCCTCCCTGGGCCGGGCCTCGGGGGCAGGCGCGGGCAGGGTCTGGGTGTAGACCATGGTCAGGAACCGGGCCAGTGCCCGGGTCACCTGCTCCCTGCTGAGCAGGCTGAGCTGGCCCTGGGCGCCCCGGATGTAGAGCAGGCGGTTGTTCAGGAAGTCCAGGACCTCGGGGTCCATGAGGCTGTGCGGGCGGAGGGGCGGGGCGCCGGCCGCCCCCGGGGTGGGCGTGGCCTCCCCCTCCCCGCCGCCCCCGCCGCCCCCGCCGTCGTCGTCCTCCTCGCCGTCGCTGGCCTGCTGGTCGTCCTGCGAGGTGTCTTGCAGGCCGTCATGCAGGCCACACTGACGGTAACTTTGCAGGTCGTCTTGCAGGGCCTCTCGCAAGACGACATCCTCATCGCCAACGACGCGCAGCTCCAGGTAGCGGTTCCGGTACGGGACGGGGCGATTGCCTTCTTGGGGGGTGACCCTCACCCCAAAGAACTCACACAGCGTCAGCCAGAATCCGGGGGTGAACCACAGGCCCCGGGGGGCCTGGCTGTGCAGGGCATTTCGCTGCCAGCGCCCAGGGCCCAGGAAGAGTTCGGCCAGCTCTTGCGCTGGGATGGTATTGGCGCCCACGAGAGGGGGCATCTGGCTGAGCAGCTGGGCAATGGCCGAGGCCATGCCGCTGCCCGCCAGCAGAGTGGAGTCCAGGATGAGGCGTAGCGAGTGCCGTGGCTGGGGCCGCGCCACCTCCATGGTGGGGGCCGGCGGCAGGGAGAGCTGCCACCTCGCCCTGAGCAGCACGAGCAGGGCCGACAGGGCTAGGAGGTTCTTCCAGTAGAGCAGGCCCCGGAAGAAATGGAGCACCACGGCCCGAATCTGGGCCATGCTGAAATGTGCCAGGAAGCTGTTGAGAACCTGGTCGATGGGGATCATAGACAGGAGTTCTTGGATGAGGGTCTGCTGGTTGAGCAATTCCTCTTCCGAGTCCTCATCGCTGTCCGATTCGGAATCGGTCGACTGATTCCGAAGCGACCCCCTCAGGGCCAAGAGCAAGAGTGGTCTCATGGACCGGCTGTTCAAAGCCCGCCAGCCGCGGTTCCTCCCAGGTGTCAGGGATGGGCTGCCATCTTCCTCCGGCATCTCCATGACGTCGAAGAGGAAGTGAGAGAAGAAAAAGACCCAATGGCCGGGGAGAAGTACGGTGAGCCTGTCATTATTCAGAGAGGCTAGATCCTCGGTGTTGAGAAGGATCATGATAGGCTCCTCGGTGTTCTCCAGGTAGCGGCACCACACCATGAAGGCAGCCCTGAGTGGAAGGATCTTCATCTCAACAGGAGGGTACTCCACCTCCAGCGGGGAGAGGTTGCGAGAGTAGAAAGAGCAGGTGATCTTCTTGCCTGTTTGCTCGTCGACTTGAATCAAGGAGGCGTACAGGGCGTCTCGGGTGACGCCCGTTTCCAAGTAGAAGGGATTCTGCGGCTTGGGGTAGTAGAGACGGGGCGCCTTGCGGAAAGCCCTCTTCAGCCCTTCGAAGGCCTCCTGGTCTTCCTCCCGCCAGGTGAAGGGCGCGTTGCTCAGCAGCTTGCGGATGAGGGGCTCAGCCGTGATGACGAACTGCTCCACGAAGTGCCGGTAGGGGTACATGTGTTGCATTAGGAGGCTCAGGGAGCCCATGGAGACAGGGATGGGGTATTCCGTGATGACGTCCATGATGGTCTTGTTGAGTTTCACCCCCTTGGGGCACACGGTGAAGCCGAGGATCTCGGCGGTCTGCCGGTGGAACTGGCTTTTGTTCAGCGAGCAGTAGATGTTGTGGTGGCGGAAGCGGACGAGCACTTGGCGGACGTGTTGGAGGTGTTCCTCCTGACTCATAGAGTAGACCAGGACTTCCAGGCCATAGGAGAGCACACACAAGCCTAGCATGTCCTGTAGGATGAAGTGAATCACGCTCTGCGGGATGCAGGGGTTTGGTGAGATCCGGAAGGGCTGGTAGCTCTTCATGTCCTGAGGCTGCAGGCCGAACGCCGCTTTCCATACCTCCTCTGTGCCCCGAATGCCCAGGCTTTGCTCCACGACGCTCCCCCGCAGCTCTAGCTTTGTGAACCATGCTGCTCCGTGTAACTGGTCGAACAGTTCGGGAATGATCTGTACGTAGTCCTGTGTGTCGCTCAGCATGCTCTGTAGCCTCCAGAAATCGGCTTGCTGCCTGGCTTCTTCCTGCATCCTGATTGCTATAGGCTCCCAGGCCGCGGAGGAGCGACACTCGAAAAAGACGTCGCTGTGATCACTGTCTCCAGCCTGCTGAAGCTCAGAGGGCTCTGATTCAGAAAGATCATCGGATCCGTCTGAGCTTGGCTGGTCGGAAGTCTCATCATCTGCTTCCTTCGGGTTAAACACGTCGGCCAGGTCTGAATAGGGGTGCGGCAAGCCGGGGAGCAGGCTGATGCTGTGCTTCTCCAGGGCGATGCATGGCGGGGGTGGGCGGAAGCAATTCTTCAGGCAGTAGGGAGAGTGGAAGGTGCAGCGGCCTCTGGCCCAGTCGACCTCGGGGGCGTGGAGTCGCAGCCAGTTGATGCCTAAGACCACGGAGAAGTTGGGCGAAGGTACGATGTCAAACTCGATGGCTTCTTGGTGGTTCTGGTGAATGCACACCAGGCGTTCGGTGTAGAGCCAGATGGGTTCGTTGCCGATCAGGGAGCCGTCCACAGTCTGGATCATCTGTGGGTAGGGCTTCTCATACAGCTCGATGTAGTGTTCTTGGGCAAACTTCTCATCCATGAAGTTGCCTTCCGCTCCAGAATCCACCAGGGCCTGGACCGCCACACTGTGGTAAGGGGTCACGCGCACCAAGAGCAGCAGGAAGAGATGGGCGCGTTGGAGGCCAGGATGGAAGTCGGTGGGCAGCCAGCTACTGACAGACCACCGCTCTGGGGCAGGTGAGTCGATCCAGGTCAGGTTCCGTGGGCGGGCCTCGGGGGGCAGCCTGAGCATGGCTCTCCTCTCCGCCAGCTTGTCTTCTATTTGCAGGATGAGCACCACCAGGCTGTCCAGGGAATCCGGCTGTGGGACCCGGAACAGATAATGGCGGATGTCTTCATTGAGCCCCTGGCACAGATGGGCCTGCAGCACTTCGTCGGGCCAGCGCAGGGTGGGTACCAGGCTCTGGAACTCATTGATGTAGTCGGTGGCGCAGCGATTGCCCTGCCTGATATTGAACATGGCGTCTTCTGCCACGCGCAGAGTGTGCCGGTACTCAAACACCTCTGACATGGCTTCCAGGAAGGCCGGGAAGTCTCCCAGCACGGGGCTGTTTTGCTGGATCAGAGACTGGGCCCATTCTAAGGCTAGGCCAGAGAGGTGGGAGATGACGTACCTCACTCGCAGGTGGTCGCTGTAGAACATTCTCGGGTAGGTTTGTAGGATCAGTTGGCAGAGCACGATGAACTCGCGGTACTCTCGGCGGTCGCCGGAGAAGCACCTTGGGGTGGGCAGCTGGCCCGCGTCGATCCCTTTCACTAAGATCTCCTCCGCCACTCTCTGCTGTTCGTTGAGGTCGTGCATTCGGAAGAACAGCGAGACGATGGACCGCATCATGGCCAGCATTTCTGCGGGAGACGGCTCCACCTGGCTTTCCTCTTCGGGGCTGTCCTCGTCTTCCGAATCCTTCAGGTCAGTGGTGTCTTCTTGGTCTTCCTGGGTCTCCAGTGGACTAACTGCCACTCCCTCCGTCTCCTCAGATACTTCGGTGAGTGGATCCTCCAGTGCCTGGTGAGAATCACCGTTGCATGACTCCTCCGGGTCTTGGAGTAGGTCATTGGGTGGATCCTCTGTTTCCTTATGTGGGCCACTGGATGGCTCCTCCATGTCTTGGAGTAGATCAATAGGCAGCTCTTCCATTTCCTGGAGTGGGCCACTGGGTGGCTCCTCCCCTTCCCGGGCAGGGCCGCTAGCTGGCCCTGCCCCCTCTGCCGGCTCTCCACTGCCCTGTGTCTCCACGGTGGTGTTGTTGGATGAGCCCTCGGAGGACTCCATTTGTTTTGATGATGGATTCTTAAGCTCCATCATCGTCTCAAATGAGTCTTCAGAGGGTTCTATCATTTCGTCGGTTGGAAAGGAGTGTTTTCTGAAGATCGGTAAGGTGGTGCTGCGTTCGGTCCGCGACTGCGACCGCGCAGATCAGAACCTAGGGATGGAAAGGGTGGGGAGGGGAGGAAAGGCAGCGGGTTAGGGTCTCAGAGGAATCAGAAGCAGAGCAGATCTAGAGGAATCCTGCCCATGTTCAGGGCAGCCTTTGCCACTGGTCACTTGAGCCACTCTCTTCAGGAGTGAGACTCCCTCCAATCCTGACTGACCTGCCCCCTGGGTGCAGGCCGTCTGCCCAGCCTGCCTACTTCCTCCACGGGTGTGAGAAATTCACAGCCCATAAATTTTGTCGAGCAATTAGCCCACAGCGGCCTCTGTGGTAGACAGGCAGGAAGGCAGGGAGGCAGGGAGGCAGGCAGACACCTGGCAGGGGCAGTGGCTGCCCTGTTTGGCCCTGGGCATTTGTGCCTGAGTCAACTTTCCTTTCGTGCTCTCAAGCCATCTCAAAAAGTCCCCGAGGTCACATCTTGGTGCCCCTCGGAGCCATTCCTGGCAGGTTGGGTGCTCTGGAGCAAGCCCACTCGGCATGGCAGCGAAGGCAGAAATCTGTGGCAAAGATTTCTGCTCTTTCATAAGCTCAGTGGGTGAGGGGAATATGGACAGGCACTTGGCTTTTAGCCCACCCGTTGTTCGGTTAGTTGTCCAAAACAGCTTGCCCTTCTTCCTCTTTTGTTTTTTTTTGTTTGTTTGTTTTTTTGTTTTTGCTTTTCTCCAGTCCTGGGGCTTGAACTCAGGGCCTAGGCACTGTCCCAGAGCTTCTTTTGCTCAAGGCTAGCACTCTACCACTTGAGCCACAGAGCCACTTCTGGCTTTTTCTGTTTATGTGGTACTGAGGAATTGAACCCAGGGCTTCATGCATGCAAGGCAAGCACTCTACCACTGAGCCACCTTCCCAGCCCAAAAATATTTTTATTTATTTATTTATTTATTTTTGTCGGTCGTGGGGCTTGAACTCTGGGCCTGGGAGTTGTCCCTCAGCTCTTCAGCTCAAGGCGAGCGCTCTACCACTTGAGCTACAGCGCCACTTCTTCTTCCTCTTTTGTGTTCAAAATATGTTAGTGAAGAGGCCTGGAGATTGGCTTTTATTGTTCATTTCCCTCCCATTAAAAAAAAAAAGTTATAAAATGCCTACTAAGTGTTGGATAAACTTGCACATTTGTGACTTGATCCTGGGTTACCCTTTGGGGGTGATTTCTCTTTCTTGATTTGATCTCCTTCCAAAGCTGTGTTCTCTCTGGATCTAACTGTCCAGGAGATGCTTCAAGTACCTTTCCAGGCCCTCCCCAACTCTGGGGGCTCCCAGAACATCTGGCCTCAATTTGCCTTGTGCAGACATATTTGCATGCCTCTCTGATCACATCTTACTTAAGTTTCCTTCTTTGCTCAAGCAGGGCTAGGCCTCTTCATTCTAGCAAAATCTCCTTCTCTTTGTTACTAATTAATTTACCCTAGCATCAGAATATATTGAATAGAGGTGTGAGCTTGGGTAGGGAAAGGGCATCTATCTTCAAAATCTATCTAGTGATGGCTATGTTTAGTGGCTGAGACTGAATTTAAAGAAACTGTCTCAATTTGGACTTGTTTGCTCTGTTGGAGCAGAGCAAATTGAGCTTTGATTATTCAGTAGATTAGCTATATAGTCAATATACTTCATAAATTGAATACCTTTGTTACTTCTCAGTTTTCTTCTTAGAGCCACAGGGCTGATATATTAAAAAAAAATACTCCTTCCCTCCAAAAAAAAAAAAAAAAGCCTTCCCTTATGTGAAACTCCACATTGGCTAAAATCCAAACTTCCCAACAGGATACAAAATTCAGATCTGCTGTTTCTCAAAATTAAACATACCCTTGTCAGCCTGACACTTAAATTTGATTATGCAAACCCTCTGATTAAAGCCTTGTACTGTTTATTTACTGTCTGCAATATTAAATCCAAACCATTCAGTATAAACACATCTGACATGTAAATTCACCAAAACCATTCTCTGGCTAAAATCGAAAGGTCTCAGCATAATACAAAATTCTGACATGTCATTCCTTGAGATAGAAATCATATTTTTTTTTTTAGCAAGGTGTACAAATTAAGTAAAGCCTCCATCACCACCATCATCACAAAAACACACACGACACATTGCTTGAGTTCACGCAGCTCTTTCTCAGAGACGTCCTCTGCGGTATGTATTTATTATTGTAAAATCCCAAGTGTCTCAGATAAAATTCGGAGTGAAACACTAAACTTGTCTAAGTAAAATCATCAACAGATTCAGCTCTCATAAGTAAAAATCTCAGTATGCCTCTCACTGAAAATTCTTTACTGGTTAACATTTAAATTTCTTATCAAGACAACTGAAAAGCCTGATGATATATCTCCTTACTATAAATTCTATACTTCTGAACAGATTTAGAAATTTGATTATGTCAATGATTAAATCGTTCCACTATCCTGCCTTCAACCTGACAGCAAATACCCTTGGCATGTTATAAAATGTTGCCTTAGTGTTCCTTAAGTGACGACTATAAATAAAACTATAAATAAGAGTTAGTGCATGATTTTAAAAGTAAAAATTATAATGAGAAGCCCTTTCCTTGATAAAAAAAAATAGTACAAAATTCCCACTACTTACTTAGCATAAAATACAATTATTTTACCATGTAATTTATTTGCCTATTTATGAACACAAAATTTACAGTCTTACCCAGTCACTCCCTAAGCCTTTGACTGATTTAATTCCAACAACTCTTAGTGTGCTATGAAAATTTGGCCATGTTGTTTTTCAGCAGAAAAGGTCAGTCCTTACAGGATAACATGCATTGCTCCATGTAACTCCTGCTTAGAGCTTTGCAGTATTCTCAGTTACCTATGCAATAGGCTCTAGGTTGTTAGCATAAAGTAATACATTTTACTTTGTAACTTCTCTGAACTCTTCCCATCCAACACAAAAAGTTCACTATGTCATGCTCTTAAAAATCTCTTCATGGTCGAAATCCACATTCCTTTGCATGGGCATAACAATGGGATTTTGTCATTCTTCAAAACTATGCTCAAACTTCTTAGCATGCTGTGTACATCTCTCTTCTGCCCAGTCTATAAATGACCCAACTCAGCAGAGAACACAGGAGTCCACTGGTGCCAAGGGCTTCTGCCTAGGAGCAGAGCTCATTGATTATGTGATTCAGCCAATCCAAGCACCTTCACATAAAGAATGTTTTACCATCAAATTCCACTGCAGACCCCAAACTATCATTCATTATTCCTCAAAACCCCTCACTGGCTACATTCCAAACACCTCCATATAAAGGTTTAAAAATGGTATCATCTAATTCTCAAGTCAGAACGCACCAGAGTCTTCAATGCTAACAGAAAGTCACATCTCCTTAGCAAGCGATAAAAATTAGATCATAGTATCTTCACCATGAAAACATCCATTGTTTGCTATGCCAAAATGCATAAATTGGAACCTGTGACTCCACAATTAAAAACTTTCCAAAGTTTCTTCATTGCCTATAGCATAAAGCCCAAAGTACTTACCATAATACACAGCATTTCATGAAATTAATTGGCTGCTCTATAAAATCCCAAATCTCACCTTGTCACACTTTTAAGCCCCTTTTATTGGCTTATATCCAAACTTATTAGCACCATATAAAATTTTGATCACGTTATCCTTTAAAAATAAAATTCACACTTACTAGTACCATATATTAAATTTGATCTTGTAACTCCATCTTACAACCCTGCAGTATCTCTTAATTGTGTGTGGCATAAAAAGTCCAGATTCTTGACATGAAATGTGAATTTTATTTCCTAATTTCATTGCGTTCTATTGATCAAACACAAGAAACTCACCATGTCACTCCGTTAGAACTTTTTATTGCATAAATCAAATTCGTAGGCATCTGCAAAACTCTCAACATGTCAAAGCCTCAACACAAATTCCGAATTTCTTTGTGTATTCACAATGCTGGTCATGCAAGTCCTCTAATTAAATCTTTTCTTTGGTGTCAACATTAATCACATCTCTTTGACATGACCTGCAAGGCACACTCTGGCATCCGTCAACATAGAAAGTCAGAATGTTTGGGCATGATCCCTAAATTTGTGGGTGTTACCTTTCTGTTTACAATTTTTTAGTGTTTCCTTGTTGCTTGCAATAGTGAAACCCAAAGCTGTTAGCCATAAAATCTACTTCATCATGTTTTTGTGCAGATTTATCTCCCGTTTTTTTTTTTAAATCTCATCATCACATTTCTTAAAACTCTAATGGCAGAAATCCAAACTCCTTAGCATGATATAAAACTTTGGTCCTGTCACCCCCTCCAAATTCAGTCCAGATTGCTTCCCAGAAAGCCAAAATCTATTCATGAAACTGTAATATCATTTTATCGCTAGTGGACCATGTCGATATTTTCACATGGCATCCCAATTTTATCACTGACAGTCTCTACTTCAAACCTTTCGAATGTCACGTCCACGGAACAAACTCCAAATCCCCAAACATGAGTTGGAAATTGGAGCAAGTATGTCTCATGCTGCAAATCTATAGATTACTCTGTATCACTTGGGCTCTAAAACTTAAAAATGTTTTCTTTTGTTTAGAAATCAAAACTTTTAACCATCTGCAGCTCTCAGCTTTGGTTCTTGTCTCCCCCACCCCATCCCCAGTGCATCTTATTATTACTCCTATTTTTTTTAAACCCCCAGTTCATAATTCACCTAGCAACATGTCCTTATTCTTTCTGGGATAGGCACAGTGCTAGAATCCTGATGTTAAGAAACGGAGGCTGCTCTGCCTTGCAGTCCACCACCAACCAGCAAGGAGATGAGGACCACAAGGTTTTGATTAAGACCCTGTTTAAGGTGAGCAAAGGGTCTTGGGGGCAAGGTGAGGGGTCTCTCCATGCATGGGACGCTCTCCTCGATGGGCTCAGTTTACATATCTGCCCATCTGGATGGC